CACGATATCTATATTGTAATAATTTTTAGCATTGATGGTACACAGGGGATGTCACTAACATAACCTAACAGACTTTCGCCGAATCGACAGTCGAATGGCTGCAAAACAAACAGATTATTACGTCACCGGCGAATACCTAGCTGATTTCTGCCTCTATATGTAAATGGCAAAGTATCTCATCAAACTGTCAAGCAGTGTGAACTGATACCAATAACAGAATTCACGACTTTTGAGGGCCCATAACCCTGAAATTTCGGGAAGAATTTTCGGGAGTCTAAGCCCCACCTTCTTGGTCCCCCTCTGCCGCCAGTGTGAATGAAACTTATATGCCCTAAGCCAACAGTAAAAAGAAAGAACAGACATAAAATGAACTGATACAAGCCTTGAAACTTACACTTTTCGCTTCCTTGTTGTCCCAGAAACCAAGCACGAAGTCCTCCAAGTCAACGAGATACCTGATTACGGAAATTTGAACCAAGCAGTTACATACTCTGTACTTCTACCTCCGAGCTGTGAACAGTGATACAAGTTGCGACTTATATAACCAACCTGACATAAAAACGAGGGGTGGAAATATTTTGCCGAGCAAAGACAGTTCTCGATTTTTCGTAAATTTTCACAAGCTCATCAAAAGCTAAAAGCGTAGAATGTCAGCAACTCCAAACCCATCTTTGATAGTGACCCACCTGACAAGATTTTTGTGAAGTCTTTGTTATTTTTGGCATTGTTCACTTGCTTGATGAAATCTTTGAGCTCTTTGAATTTCTTCTCCTTGTGAGTACGCACTACACGCTTCTCTTCGTCCTCGCTATCGCTTGGATACGCAAAGTCCCGAGCGCTGAAATTAGGCCCTTTCTAGGATTAGGAATGAAGATCACTGACTTTGTCCAAATATCAAGCTTACCACTCATAAGCCGCATACTCTCACATCGAACTTTCAAGTTCTTAGAATAAAGTACAAACCGTAAATTTCTCGACCAAGATTGTAACACAAGTGTAAACTTCACCATCTTGATCGACCGATTCAATCAAGTTCTCAACAAACACAAACACTGTCGGTGACTTTGTGAAAAAATAATATGCACAAGGTGCAAGTCATACAAGGACAGCGAGCACCAAAAGAGTGACTATAGAAGCCAGGAAGGCATCACACTTGATCCGCTTGATACGCTTCGTCATTGCTCAATTCAATGAACTAACCAGTAGGAAGCGGACCAAGTGAACAACCGTTTCCTAATGGTCAGTCACTGAACTGAATAATGGCGAAGTGGATCAAGTGCATAGAACAGGTGGAGCAATTCTGCACCTCTTCGCTTTGGGCCGGCTTTTGGATGGTCACCTTCACCTGAGGTTGAGAATAGGGACAAAGCATAAAGCACAATGGAAAACCTATGATAAATGGTGCTCATCTTGTTTGGGACTGCCAGTGGTGCTTCTTCAGTCATTGCATGACATGGCTGCACGTTGAACGTTTGCTGACAGAAACGCAAGCTTGTGCTTTCCTCGAGTGATTCAAATTCGATAGCGACATAAACCAAAAAATTCAAAGGATGTCTGATTTTTTTAGACAGCAGCATTGTTTATAATGATTATATAGGAGCCTGCAGGATCGCGAGAGTAGTCCGTGCGTA